GACTGTTATGAAGACAGAGGAGCGGCATTTTACCAACAACTGTAAACAGGCTCGTCTGTTTGAGCAACTGGCTCAGTGCAGGGGCGGCGCCAGCTGAAGCACCCCCCAGGATTGCCAAAGCACCCCCTAAGCACCCCCAAGAAATGTGTTTTTTTTTTCTTTTTCGAAAATTATTATTATTTGTATTCAATTAAATTAGAACAATTTTTGATTACATCAATGCAAATGTGAAACAAACACATTTTTTTACCAAAAACATAAAGCCAACACAGGTGATATGATTAGGCCAATGGCCAGCACCCATTCGATTTTTGACCTACCCATAGGCTAAATTACTTTGTGACACTTGATTGAATTCCTGTTAGCTAGAGCGCCAAATGATTTGCTAACAGCAAAGTGAAAAATGTATCGTTTTTTAGTCCTTAAATGTCCACGTGTGGACACTCAATCAAAACCACCTGAAAGTGAGAGGGATTCTGCACATAATAGCATAGCCTCGTGAGTACAAGTAGTTTACTTCTGGGCAGGGCCGTTTCTAGCTTTTTGGGGGCCCTATGCAAGATGCTGTTTGGGGGCCCTAGTTTTGACAGTTTTTTTTAACTACAATGGGGGGGATTCCAAAGCCTTTAAGATGATCTGTGGAGATGCATCAATCTGTTACACTTTAATAGGAAAACAGGCTAATTTCACGAAAACCAAGCAATTGAAAATTACAAAAAATGATATTAAAAAGGTAAACAATAAGGCTCCTCTATGTCAATAAATGCAAGAGATGCAGCATTTTCTCAGCTGTCAGCCCAACGATGATTTGGACTTTATTACCCCAAAAACCCAAGCCACAGCTTTGCTATCATTGCAGTTTAGTCGTGTTTATATCCTACATTGGATTTGTAAGCATATAATGCTTCACCGAACACTCACAGGAGGGGTCTTGGCTGTCTACAAATAAAGACGGCTCATTTTAATTCTCCCCAAATATATTGAGGCTGAACCTGAACTTTGAATTCTCTGCTCCCATCATAATCTTGGCGATCTTGTTAAAATTGTGAATGCAGAATTAGAAATACTATGTAACTGGTTTGCAGTTAATAAATTATCCCTTAATGTGGCCAAAACAAATTACACGTTATTCAATACAAAGTCTGAGAGTAGAAATGACTGCATTATACGGATTTGCAATACCGAGATAGAAAAAGTTGGTGCATGTACATTTGTAGGACTGCTTGTTGACGAAAAACTCAATTGGAAGCACCATATAAATTATGTACAGACTAAACTGTCAAAAACAATAGGTATTTTGTATCATACTAAGAACATTCTTGAAGAAAATATACTCTTTATAACTCTAACTCTATTTCTCCCTTACCTTTACTACTGCTCCGAAATAGGGCAGCAATATGGGGGAACACGTACTCAACAAATCTACAAAAAATAATAACATCCCAAAAAAAAGTATTACGAATAGTCTGTGGTGTTGGTAAATATGAACACACAACTCCCATATCTAAAAAACTCAATCTTTTAAAATGTGTTGAGATAGTACAGCTTAAAACAGTACTGATTATGCACAACATTTTCCAAAACAAAAGGCCTAATAACTAGGGATGCACGATATTGGTTTTTTGAAACCGATACCGATAACTTCCTGCTTCTCAAGACCGATACCGATAACCGATAATAACAAAAAATGTACGCCACTAATTATTTTAACGCGATTAACGCATGTGTATTTTTTTTCCTCGGCCGCCCCGTAGTTTCAGAGCGCATCGAGTTTAAAATACCATCTACAAGGCAAGCTGATGCTGACAGCCCCGCTCCTGTCGCCCGCTTGTGGCAGACCACACTTCCACGCTCACCGGCAGGCACCGACTGGCCATCTGGAGGACCGGGAGGGTGTGTATGTGTGGCCCGAGCGAGCGAGAGAGAGACCTTACGTGCATTGTTGTTGTTAGCATCTGGTGCTAGCTAGCTGAACTAACGGATACGGAGCTGTTTAAATGAAAACAGAGGAGCGACATTTCGCCACAACTGCGCCGAGCACTTGACTTTATGCAGGAAGCCAGACAGTGGGACATTGTACGAAAAGTCAGCACACTCAGCACGGATAGTGCGCAACATGACGGGCATCCCTACTAATAACATTCAAAAGCAGTTCCAAACCACAGCGTGAACATATTAATGTAAAAAAAGTCACTTGAAAATAAGTGTTCACAATGTTTATATGCAATTATGCATATATTATTATTATTATTCATTTGCCAAGTGCATGTGTACCTATGTCAGGAGTCTGCAACATTTTTGACCAAAAGAGCCATTTTGCTCCTTTTTCCAAAAAAATGTTTGTCTGGAGCCGCAAAACATATTTCATAATTTTTTTATTGTTATATCAGAAAAAAACTACAGTTTTTTTGCATTTATTAGGCTATTTATTACATGATATAAAACTGTTAACCTCTAATACGAAACAAAGAACTCTTATAAGGAGAATTACAAATAATACACAAGCCTACTTTCAAATAAATTAAACACAGCACTTGGGGAGTCCTCTGCACATTTGAAGGAAACATTTTTTTAATTAAAATGGGCCCACTTTGAAATAAATAAAACATAGCTGCACCCTAAAAAGAGTTAAAGGTAGGGTAGGTAAGAATGGAGAAACCAGCTCGAGTGCGCTAGAATTTGAAAGTACACAACCGGAAAAAATATGCCTCTTCCTTCAGACTTCCTTACAGAGCCCCTCCTCCAACACACACGAACGCGCACATGACCAATGAGGGCACGAGATAAGTTTGTGCACAGATGGAAGGCTGACAGGCAGGTAGGCCATCCAGTTATTTTAGCCAGGCCGGCTCAGATGATTGGTCGTGCTTTTTAAAGCGCTACGGCTTCCACAGATTAATTTTTGTATGTATTTATTGTCAAAGCATTTAATATATCCATTGCTATCGGGACGTTAAGAGCATTCCATGGAATATAACAAAAAGTGTTTTCTGAAATAAATTACATACCCCATTGAATTATGACTGAAGATCGTCAGCTGTCTTCCTCTCCCTTGTTGTTCCTCGATACTAAAGGCTGCACCACCGTTGACAACTTCTCTCTACATATCAAACATACCGGTAAACCAGCATTGTTTGCTGTGAAAGCAGATAACTCTGTCCACACAGAATTAAATCCTGTGTTCCTCCGGTACTTTTCTTTGATTTATCCATAGTTCGCTCATCGCTCATAAAATTATAGTTGGATCTTTGTATCTTCTTATTATTAGTAGAGAAAATGTAATGTTTTTACAACAATATACAATTAATCCTACCAATATAGATGGGAACCGGGTTGGGGGGTCCCGAAAATATTTCCAATTACCCAAGGGGGGCCCGACTGAAAAAGTTTGGGAACCACTGACCTAATCTAATCCAAAATTGATCACAAATTAATAATACTATATTAAACAAAGACCAATGCCCAAATATAATAATGAAACGCCTTATAGAATTTACGCTAGAAACCACTCTCTCTCTTTAAACAACATAAAATAAATTCAAATATAGTTGTGATAACTATTCCAGATGCAGAATTTGACTCTCACAGCTACAAGACATCACAGAGGGAATAACATTGACATTGGGTTTAAGTCCAGACAGTACAAAAAAGAACACAATATTTCTTCTTAGATTTTGTTTAAGACCTCAGCATACAAGAAACTATTTGCCAGGGCAGATGATTGTTATTAATGTGTTATTTAATGTCTGACTTTTAAGGATTGGTCTCTGAATGGACTACTACATTGAAAACCAATTAAGTCAAGCCTTGTTGATGTTGTTTCAATCTTGAGGTTTTCCCTGTAGTTTTGTGAATGTGCACTACAGTGATTTAGAATTGTGTTCAAATAGGGAATCACAGGAGGGACACATTTCAACAAGACAATTACTTATTACTGCGGCTGAGACTGAAATAAATACAAGAACCCTGGGACACATATTACAAATGAAAGCAATGCTGTGGTTTGACCTGAGTTTGTTTGACCTGCCAGGTATGATTTCGTGGGCCATCAGGAGACTCTTCAGCAGGACGCCTCACAGCTGCTGAAGATCCTAATGCTGCAGGACGACATCCAGTTCCCTCCTTCCTATGAAAACATGACCACACCTGCTTTTCTGTTAGACTGGTTCAGCGCAGTGCCCCTAGAGGACAGGAGGAAGCTGTACGAGCTCTATGAGCAGGACTTCAGGATGTTCGGCTACAAAAGGCCTAGAGAACTGCTGGATGGTTGAGAGGATGTCATGACTACTAACTCACTGCTGAGCAAAGAACAATCTGTTAAGGACATGACAAATACTCAACCACCTCAACTTAAGTTATTATAAGCATTGTGGTTATTTAAAGGTATTTGTCTTTGCACAAAAGTCTGGGGAATTATTGTTTAAGGGGTTAGGATTATAGAAAAAAGATGCCAGGAGGTGGGTAACAAATAAGCAAATCCACAATAGTTGAAAACAAGATATACTGTACTAGAAACTCAAAAGACAGGGAGATAACTAGGACATGGTGAAACAACAAGGGAAATAATACAGGAAGTGATGACAAAATGATATAGAAAGTGAGGAAACTAATACTAAATACACAAAAGCACAAAAGACTCATTGACATGAAGCACAGGTGGAACAAGCCAGGGTGGGGAAGACTATTACAATGGCGGGAAAACAAACAGAGGAAGAAATGAAACAAAAAAAGACACCATGGATGGAATGAAGTCTAGTGTGTTGGACATTTTTTTTATAAAAATGGTCATGAGATAAAAATCATAGTAGATCAAAAGGTCTCAACCAAAATGTCAAACTTAAAGGAAATGTAATATCAATGGAACTGTACTTATGGATCAATGTATTATACATCTTAATAAAGGTGCACACACTCAGTCAGAGCTACTTTACAAACACTTGAAGAATGCTTACATGTTTGATTTCTGGGGGGGGGGTAAGAGAAGCACACCCACAACCAGAAACTTTGTTATGCTTTATTACAAAACAACATGACAAAAACAATACATGATTTAAGTTCCACACTCACAAAACGAGGTGATGGTGGCAAGGTCCATCCCGTGAGGCTGAAATTAATTTCACATTCACATGTTCCAGTAACTGAAGGTGAACAGAGACATGTCACCTGTCAGTTTCTTGCATGTTGAGATTTCCACACTGACACGTATCGTCCTGCTGAGCTGTGTGGCAGTGCAGGCAGGGACAGCCCCATCACTGGAGTCCGCCTGAAGGACTCTCTCCACGGTTCTCTGCTCTCTGACAGCCACATCGCTCTGCCTGAAGCCCAGGATTGATGCTGCATGACGGGACAGTCTGTGACCTCTGGGATGTCAGCGGTGTGTCAGAGAGAGGAGCAGAAACACAGAGAAAGAGACAGAGGTGCTGAAAGATTCAAAGTGTCAGGAGAATGAGAGAGCAAACAACAACAGGAGTAAAGGAGAAAACAATATGGCTTTTCAATGTCTACACGTGTAGACACGTCATCTTTGATTTTTTTTTAAACATTTAAATTGCGCGACATCACAATCAGCTTGGACTCTTCGTATTTACAATTTATATTATGACACATTTTTCAGCTGTGGCTCTCATCCTGAACGCCTCACAACACTGGTTTCTCCCGCACATGCTTGATAAACGTATATTTCTCATATATCTCTGTAGTCTCTCTTCATGCCACAGCTCCCGTTTAAAGGCATTTAGTAGTAGCCATTTTGCATCCGTCCTGGGACAGTTCAGTTTGTTCTGAGGATGCTAAATGGCGCATCAACTTTTACATCAACCTTTCATATTGAGCTTTCTTCACACTGAGCCAGTGGTGCTGGTAATTTAAACATGGGAAAGCTTGCCATCTCCTCCTCTAGTCCTTTTATTCCATCCCCCAACGCGTCCCCCAGCCCCTCATCCACCTCATCCCCAGACTCCCTCATGTCCAGACTCCCCCTCTCCCCCGTCCTTCCATCCAGCAAATCTGCAGCTAAAATTTCAGAGGTGAGCTTCAGTCCGCTGTTGCTGGTGTTGCAGTTGGAGTACAGGGAGTTCCCGTGGCCATTGCTGGGGCTGATCAGGGTGCCGCTGTAACTATTGCCATGGTGACCACCATTCCCATTGTTGCTGAGGAGCGTTGTGGTCGTGTTGGAGGTCACCGTCCCGTTGTGTTTTTCCGTCAGCCTGAATCCATCGGACAGCAGGCTGGCGCTGCTCGGGGACTGGGGCGTGGCCGAGGAGCCCAGCAAGTCCCGCCCCTTCTCTGACGACAGCGAATTATCCGGCAGGTGGTGACCCTGGTGGACAATGCTGCGCCGACGGGTCAAGAAGTAGAGGAGGAACGCACCAAACGCTAAACCCAAGAAGAAGAAAAGGATGTAGATGGCCAGCACGTGGCGCCCCCCTGCTGTCACCACCACTCCTCCAGCATTAGGGCCTTCTAGAGTCAGTTGATAGGCTGCTCTGCGGCAGGGGGTCAGTTCTCTGACTCCTGGCCCTGCCTCCTGGAGAATAGCAACATGACACAGAAAAATATGACTTGTTTAATCTCGTAAACCGTTAAAACAGGTACTTTTAAACTCTGCAGTTTGCAGTTAACTGGGAGTCTTATAGCAGGATACACATTTAACAGGCTGAATATGCAAAGATAAGTTTTGAATATATGTTTTGCCTGTGTACCTGGCAGGTGCAAATGTAGTCTCCGAGGCTGTCCTCTGTGACCGTCACCTCCAGGTCAGAGTTGTGCTGCCGGGTGTGTCTGTGGGGGGGGTGCTCCCAGCTGCAGGGCCTGGGAGACAGCTGGACACATGGCAACAGGAGACGCAGACCAAGAGACACCCGCAACTCCCTCATGGACGGACTGCAACGCCCTGGAGGAGATGACACGCAGGGAGCAGAAGAGAAACACACAAGGAGAATATGTTAATGTTACACAGGCTTGACATCTTTGCCAAAATTACACTGTAGCTTTTTGAATAAAAAATCAAATCACGCTTACCCTCCTCTTTATCACACTTTCTCAAAGCGTTGTCAACCACATCACCTGGACCAGGCCTGGACACACAGAAAACTGTTTATTTTTGACACATAACCAAACCATTTTCCAACCCAATACTGTTGCTGTCTGCCTTTATTTTTACATTTGGAAGATTTCCAGTTTTATATTCCAGCAGTACTCACTCTGCAGTGGTGGGCCTGCAGGCGGCCTCCTCTGTGCTCCAATCACAGCCCAGCCCTCTGGCTCTGGCACACTCTTTACAGTCGGAGTACAGAGCGCAGCCTTCAGCCTGGACCCGAGCCAGAGACAGGGGGCTGCCCACCAGAGCCAGACCCTGCAAACACATGGAGACATTACAGAACCACTGAGCTGCAAAACAGAGCAGATGGAAATATGCAGCATGTGTGTGAAGAACTGTGCCAATACCTGGTGCAGTAAGATGTTGTTGACGGGCTCCTGTGAGCTGAACAGAGGAATCTCCTGCAGCAAGGTGGCGTTCTGTCCCACTACCGCCACCCGGTGGAGCTCCCCTCGATCTGCAGCACACAAACACAGAGGTTTGAGTTCATTTCTTCACGCTTTCTGTCTTTTTTACTGCCTCCTTTCTTCTGAACCCTTCCTCCCTCTCCTCACCTGTTCCGAGGTGCAGCACTGCTCCCTTCTGCCTTTCTCCGCCTCCCATCTGCGTTACAGCCAGCTTGGTGTATCTGACTCCCTTGCGGACCAGTAGAGGTGCTGCAGTAACGCTGTTCTCCATCAGCGGGTGGTCCCTCACAAAAGTCAACACCTTGTCGGGAAGTTTCAGGGAGGACTCGTAGCCCTCGGCCTTCAAAGCGTTGTTCAGACACTAACAAATGTAGAGGGAAGGATAGAAAAAGTCTGAGTTATTTGTATATAATGAAAGGTATTTTATGAAGTAGAAATGCTGAGTACATATGCAGTAGTTGTGTGGTTGAACAGTTTAGTACCTGTCCAGGTCTTGGTGTGGGGACAGGTTCAGGGTTGATCCAGTCGCAGGTCTTCTTCAGCTCTTTAAAAGGGCCGTCCATCACTTTGCTGATTTCAGCCAGACTGAAAACACACACTGCTGACAACTCCTCATGCTCCCTATGAAGAAGACAAATAAATGTTCACATTTTAGGCTATGTTTCTGTTACATTAGGGAAAAGGTTAAATGAAGTTGTTTGATATGAAAAGAATAGTTGACATTTTGGGAAAAACACTTTCCATTTCTTAGTGAGAGTTATCTGAGAATATGTCTCACACTGTACAGTAAATAAGAAACTACAGGCAGGAGACAGTTAGCTTAGCTTAGCATAAAGACAGGAAACACTGCAATCTCTGCTCCCTCTGCCTCCCTACAAAATCTACTTTCTCTCCTTTAATAGCTGACAGTTAATTGTCAATGACGCAACCTAAAATGAAAAATTACATTATCAATTACATTATTTAAATTAAAAGTTAAAAGAAGCTCTGTTTTCCCCTGCCTGCTCCTCAGCTTACCACTGGGAGGTGAACAGTCCGTAGAACTGAGTGCTGCTTGGGTCTCCCGGAGTGTGTTGCGTGGTGAAGACATCAGTGAGGATGTTGTAGCGCTGCCCGGTCGGTCTGTCCTCACACACCAGCTGCGCCTTGAGGAAAGTGGTCCAGCGCCGCTGCAGGGTCTTCATCCCTCCCACATCAGACTGAACAGACAGTGGGAGAAGACGAGGAATGAGGCAATTGATCGATCAATCAATCGGTCAATGTATCACTCAATTTAATCGCGATGGGTTACCTTGCAGACTCGTGCCACCCTGGGCACTTTGACTTTGGTGTAGAGGTCGTACTCTTTGGCCACCTCCGTGAAGAAGAAGTAGATTTTGTCGTCGTCCCCTATCGGGTTGTTTTCTGCAGACTCCTCTATGAAGGCTGAGCTCACAAACTCTGGGTCTGAGAAACACACACACACACACACACACCCACACACACACACACACACACACACACACACACACACACACACACACACACACACACACACACACACACACACACACACACACACACACAATTAGACTTTTTCCTGTGGGAAATATGACCGTGGCAATTTGAAGTGGCAGTGTGTCACTGTGTGTCCTATGGGCTTTCAGTGTGTCTCACCACTCAGCCAGTTGATGGATCGCTCAGTTCGGATGCGCTCCTGCTCAGTGCCCGTTGCCCGGGAGATGTCGAATAACGTTCCCAGGAAGTTACTGGTGGCTGCTGTGTAAAGGGTACCACCTAGACACAAGAGAGAGGAAGTAAATTAGTTTATCCCTCAGATTAGCCTGATATTAAAGCAGATTATTAAGTGTAACATTCAGTGGTACTGACTCACCTGCCATGACAGCTGTGTAATGCTGACTGGGCTCAAAGGGACACTTCCCCTTCCCTGTCTCCATCTTCACTCCTCCATCCTCAACTTTCTCCAGGGTGAAGGAGGTGATCTCCTGCAGGACGACAAGAGTAGGAATAGTTAGAACTACAATAGGGAAATATCAAATAAATAATTATATTGTAGATAATATTTTTTCACAGCTGTCTTTTGTTTGTTATGTCCTCCATCCTCCATCTTTTTACAGTGAGTTAAATATTTTGAGTTTCGTCTGATTGTCTGCTTAAAATGTCACAATAAACTACTGTTGACTTGCACTTCACAATTTTCTTTGTACTGAGTGTGACAGTGGAGCCTAAAAAAATAATACGTTTGCATAGTAGGATAGCTATATATATTGTTGTGTGTGATTATGTACTCTTCTGCCTGTCCCCTTGGTGAAGGATTTTGGTGTGAATGAGTGTGGGAACTTGTCACAGAGATTCATTTGCAGCTATCAATGCCCATAATGAAGGTGCAAGGTACAAAGACATGCAAGCGGACACACACACCAGTTTGGAGTTATAGCACAGTGCAGCTATCTGACAGATCCTCAGGCACAGATCTGCCTGATAAAGTCTCCTTCAAATATGAATTCATACATGCAGACAGGGACTAACACAAACATACACTTTACAAAACACACAGAAAAAACGGACCAGGAAGGCACACTGGGGGTCGAAGGCGTAGGTGCCACACACGTAGATGCGTCCATCGCCCAGAAACTCCAGCAGACGGATGTAGTTATTACAGTCAACCTGCAGGGGGAGACAAACACCCAGGAATAGTATTATTAACATCCGGATTTAACTTTATGAAGATTTTAAATAACATGAAATAAAAACATTTTTTTAATAATTGTAAGACAAATAAGTGATGTATTTATTGAATTTATACATTTAAATACATACAAATATGTATTATAAATATTTATATTAATAATCAAATATATATATATATTTATGAATAGTCAAAATAATTGTAATATTATCATCTGTAGCCTAAATTTGCTTATTTACCCAGTGTAGGGGAATACAAAGAGAGGTTAAAATATATAACTGCATTATTCTTTAAATTGATATTGCTATTCTGATTTCTAGTTTTAAAACAAAAATAATATTTATTTTCCCCGTGAACAGAAGTATTAACCACACTGAGCTTTAGGACAAAGGTTGCAGTAGATTCTGAGAGCAGCTGGAGTATTAATGAATGTGATTGGAAATAGGAGACCCCCACTGATGGGAGGGACACTTGAGACCCCCTTTGCTACCAGCAGAGACCATCCATACTTACTCACACTAACATGCATGCAAACGGCCTCATTTTCATTCATTAATGATCCATAAATATTCACATATGCAGTCCTTGTAGGTCTCATAAATACACAACATAGATGATGTATTTGTTGAGCTCTCCTCTGTGTACACACACATTTTGAGTCCGCAGAGAGTATGGAAAAACACCTCCATTGTTCCTCCCCAGTCAGCATGAAACCATGACGCAGGCAGTTTTTAGTGAGCGTCTGCGTGCGTGCCATCTTGGATGAGCTCCAGGCCTGAGTCACCTTCACCCCCGAGGCCTGAGTCACCTTCACCCTCGGGACCTGATCCTCTCTGATGGCAAAATTATGACACCCAAATCAGCCCCCGCCCCACCATGCCACCACCCTGTCCCCCGAGACAGACGCAGGGCCAGAGATGAAGAGAGCTCAGAATGACAACAATGGGATCAGTTTGGGATTAGATATTTCATTGGTCCGAATTAACGTCATTCATACTAATAAGATGAATTCACAATCTGGCATGGATTGAATCAAATGACTCTATTCTGTTCAAGTCTTTTATATGTCAGTGTGTTGGAGATTATAATTAGAAATCCTTATATTTATTATGTTAAAAGCTCTCCTTTTCTCCAAGAGGTACATACTCCTCATCTATAACCATATCAAGAAAACTCTGCCTGGTGTTACTCTCTTCCTGGTGTGTTGTTAGGCAACTGTTTGCTAAGACTTTAGCTAAATCCACTTATTATCATGTGTGAATGATTTGTTTAAAGGCTGTCGGGCTGCCCTGAAGTGGCCCAAAATATCAAAATGGAATAATAAAATAATAATAAAAAGTGCAGGTGGATAAGCTCCTCTCTTTGTGTTGCAACAAAACCAAAAGTGTTTTATTTCTGTATGTTAACCTTTACACAGAGTCTTTCTACAATCAAATTGTCATCATTCATTACACCCAGAGTGTACAAGAATATTATTGGGCTGTGCGTCAATCAGTCCAAACCTATTACCACTGTAGGTGTTGAAAGGCAGCACACACCTGGACATATTCTCCAATCAACACCCAGTAATAACAACAGATGAGTCAACAATGGTTTGAACTAACTTTGGTCTAGCCTTCCTTTATAGTTCACAAGAGACATGTATGATGCCTTGCTCTGCCTTATGATCAATGTTGACAGCAAAGTACTATTTTATCTTTTGCAACATTGCAGATGTCCTACGCTTAGTAACATCCTGCTGAGCTACTGAGCAACCCTGCCAACTTACCCTGATGTGTGTCACTCACTCACCCACTCACACACGTCTCTATGGGTACAATTCAAGGTAGTTTCTTGTTGAGTCTAGTTTCTTGTCTCCTGCTCTGTATTTCTCTCTTTCTTTGTCTTGCAACAATGCTCCTCATCCTTCCTTACTCACTCACTTGTCTAGCGTCCTTCCACTTCCTGTTTCCTTCCCTCTCTCCACTTATTTGTAATCCTTCTGACTCACATGTAATCTTGTAATCAATGTCTTCTCAGAAAACACACAGCCCTTCTCTTTCCGGCCTTCATCAGTCGTTCACCTCAACAGAAAGCTCATTATGATTGTACAAAATGGGTCAAACCAAATTGCACTTCGCTCTGTTAATACTGATAATAGGAGGCTACATTTTCAGCCCAATTCTCTTCCAAAACTTTCAGTGTATGATTCGTTTACTGTAAACTATTTGGTTGATGTCCTAATGTAGTCCCAGCATAATGAAATGTACAGCTTGAGTGTACAGTACGCTCTATTTAATCAGTTTCATACACAGATACTGGGCATCTGTGACTACACATACACCCCTCTGACACCCATTCTGTATCACACACACACACACACACACACACACACACACACACACACACACACACACACACACACACACACACACACACACACACACACACACACACACACACACACACACACACACACACACACACACACACACACACACACACACGATGAGGTTTTGGCAGCTGTCCCAGAACTTCCCATCCGATGCCTAGCAGCACGGGGTTTTGACACACACACACACACACACACACACACATACCATGTATACATCACTTCAGGGGACATTACATTGACTTACATGCATTTCCTGGAGACTTATCCTAACCTTAACCATAACCAACACATGCCGAACCGTTACCCTTACCCTAATCTTCAAGTCTTCACCCTAAAATTAATAATTCCCCTCATGGGGACCTCCAATTTGTCCCCATAAGGGAAGCCAGTCCCCACACGTGACTATGTAAACAGCTTTAGGTCCCCACAAGTATAGTAATGCTAGACCACACACACACACACACACACACACACACACACACACACACACACACACACACACACACACACACACACACACACACACACACACACACACACACACACACACACACACACACACACACACTGGAGCATAACATATAGGTCCATGACATCACACGTTTCAAATCTCTATGGGCCACTTGTATTGAGTAAATTATTCCTAAAATGAATAATATTTCAGAGGGTCATCAAGTTTCAGGACACAAACATTTTGCACAAAATTGTAAAAATGATCTAGGCATCACTTAGCCAAACAACCTTTGACTTTAAGAACTGAACCTTATATTACATGAAGAAGGCGTGTGAGGGGAAAACACACACGCAGCTCTCACCTCAGTTTTTCCCTTTGCTACACAAGACCTCCTCTTCTCCTCCGGCACATCCCAAACAATCTGAAATGAGAGGAGAGAGAGACAGAAGTGGGTAAGGCCTGGTCATTGCTCATCAAAAGCTGATTAGTAATCAGTGTTTAGACTCATCACAGCACTCGCACAAAGAGCCCTTTTTTCAGTGGTGGACATCTCTTGAAGGAAGTAAATAGGATATATGATATCTAAAGGCCAAACCTGACCCCGCATCTTTTGATTATTTCCCTCTGATCCTCCATTAGTATTGAGAACCATTAAAGGACATTTATTTTTCATTTCTTGCACAGAGTTGACCAGTAGGAAGCCAAAGTAAGGAGCAATTTAGCTTAGCTTACTGTAGCATGGACTGGAGGATAGGAAGTGGAGGGAACAGCTTGAGTTTTTCCAAATGTAGAAAATAAACCAGACCCTTTAAAGATGACTTATCAAGCTATTAAAGCCTAACTTCATATTAACCATACAGCATTGAGTGGTATTAATCTTCTCATCCAAATATTTATATCTCCAGAAATTTTTTATGTACCTTTTACTCTCTGTTCCTGGTTGGTTTAATTCATCCGTCAGCCTAATATGAACCTATGTGATCCTCCAAATCAGTTCAACAATGTTGATAATATAATATGACAAATGTATTGACCCCTCACTAGCACACATGCTTCCTACCTTTCGGGGCACTTGGTTCAGGTTGTTGGTGTCCACAGATAGGATGGCATCCCTGGCTCCGAGGAACAGCACGCCTGACGAGCGGTCCAGCAGGAAGGTGCTGAAGTTCCCCACATCCTGGAACTTATGCGGACCAAGTATGTTGTCTGTGGACCAAGAGAAAGAGAGGGGGTGAGATTTCCAGGATGAAAGAGAAGTCAAACATCACAAAATAATGCACTTAGAGAGCTGGGGACGACAAGAGCTTTAGTAGTACTTTCTTTGGCCATGTAAGAGCAAATGGTTGACTAGATTAATCCCCACAATATTCCCAGAAAGAGCTTCAAAGAGATAAAGAGATGAGGGATGAGAGTAACCCTTGTTTCACCCTGGTCTCTCTCACAATCACTACAGATTAACTCCTCTAATCCCTCTCTGTCTAAGTCTTTATTTTCTCTGTTTTTGAGGGTTTTCTGTGTCACAACAAACACCCACTCGACTCTGTTTCTCTTCGTTTTTTATCCATCATCTTTCCTCTAGGTTTCCATCCATCTGCCTTCATGTTTCACACATATGTAGAATGAAATCCACTGCTGAAGATACATTTAAAAAAAGCATAATATTGACTAAATAATGCAATCGTCTTTTACATTAAACATGATGTGTAATCTCAGAAACAAAATGTTTTAAATCTCAAAACTATCCCATTAATTCAATCACGAAAGCAAGAGCGAAACCTTCTCTATCATCCACTACAGTTCAAATCAATGTGTGTGTGTGTGTGTGTGTGTGTATGTGTGTGTTCGTGTCTCAGCTTCTCAGAGGAAAGAGCACAGCTGTGTACTGAACTTCAGTGGAGTGCTAGTGAGAGAGCAAGAGTGTGTGTGTGTGTGTGTGTGTGTGTGTGTGTGTGTGTGTGTGGTTGTGGGTGTGTATAAAGGATTTAGCAGGTTTTTTAAAGTCCCAGCCCTTTGTTGACCGTCATCAAAAAACACCAGACATTTTCAGAAAAAGAACATCAAATTCAAAAAATGGATCTAGTTATTGGTTTCTGATATGTACTACTTCCCAGTCAAATACACACACACACACACACCCCTAGCACACACTGCAAACTGACAGATGAGGTAATCGTGGATAGATGAATAACTAATGCTAATAAATGACGCCTAATTTAACCTCAAACGAAGAAACAGGAGCTATGGACTATAACACATTACTCACTACACTATTACTCAGTGTATTTGCACAATCCAACACTAAATGGGGCATGACTGATGATAGTAACAAGCCTACAATTAACACAAACAAAGGCAGACTCACAAATGAAAATAAGATAAAGTGTTAATCATCAATTGCACAAATGTGGTGTATACTAAGGTGTATTTCATGTCTAACAAAGTACAAATTAATCATTGTTTGTTATATTACAGTAGAATCAAATGGCATCAAAAACCCAGTCAAATCAGCTGAAATCTCAAGCTACACGGATGGATCTATGGAACAGTTCAAACTATTGATTCAAATAATGTACGTCTGTTTTAGTTTATGCTTCTGAATTTATGATGCTGAAGTTCTTAGCTAACATGCTAACAACTTAGTTCTGAGAAATCACTAACAAAGCTTTTAACATAATATGTTGTTGCTGTGTGTCACATCATATTTTGGTTAAGATATTTTAACCTTTGTCTCTTAAGCAGCCATATTATCCTCTATAAAACACATGAACACACTCTATTTCCATTAATGGTAGATAGGAAACAGATCTCTGATGGCCTTTTCTAACTCGCCTAATAATTCAGAGAAAAGGAGAGAACAAAAACACACCCCCCCTGTATTATTCTGCATGTAGAGATGATGAGGTGATGTAACACAATCATAGAGGAGAGTGTTCAACAGCAAACAGGAAGTGCATTAGTTTAAAATCCCTCATTCATCTTTAAAATACAGATAATAACTACTTTCCCAAATTACACGAAAGAGAAAATATTTTCAGTGACATAACCCCCAATTTGGCAGCTGTCGACTAAAAGATGAAAACTCGTACAATCTGTCTCTCTATGGTGGCTGCCACTCAAAGTACCATGTCAGGATATTTTTGATAAATGGCACTCGTCACTGACATGGTTTTCCACTTAGAGCCTGTCTGTGTTGTTCTGTGAGGAGAAAAAAAGATCCCAGCACTCTGACATCTGCCTGTATCTGAATCACAGACATGTCCTCTCCCCTGCCTCCATCAGTCTGCGTCTGCTGCCCGTAACATTTCACATGAATGTCATTTCTCATTCACTAAGGAGCCATCTGTTCGGATAAAAGCCAGCAGGCAGTCAAATAGCAAGCCATAGCTCTGATTTGCTCGCTGAGGACCTGCACTTCCTGAATATCAGCCAATGTGAGGAGGGGGATCGCAGTCTGTTAAAGCAAATATGACAGACAGAAGTAGACACACACATTTGTTTAAATGTTTACTACAAAGCTTCTGGAAGTTTAGCTTGGTTGCCCTTAATCAATGTTTCTGAATTGTCCCTTTTCACTTTCAGCTCCGAGCTAATAAAATAAACACTTGCCTTCTCAATCTCTCAATCAAATCTCTTCAAATAAAAGATCATCAGAGACTTGTAAACTTTTCATAATTTCGTCCCTTTTGTCGCCTTTTCATCTTCAGCCTGACAAAGACTTCTTCAATCTCACTCTACAGCCTGTCTCACTGCCGCTCTGACACACACATGCATCAACACACACACAGCAGAGAAGACATGAGCGCTTGTGACACAGGCCAAAGGCAAGGTCTGCAGAGATGTCCTTGTGAACACGACGACACACACACACACACATGCAGGCCGTGGCACCACCTGCTGTGCACTCTAATGCAGAGAAATGATTCCTAGAGCTATACCATCTGCCCTTCTCACACAGACAGACACCTATAACAGACACACAGTAAAGAAGACCTGACGCATGCCTCGGGACGAAATATGTCATGCAATTTACATCCCCCATTTCTCTTTTGTCTTCATGATGACATACCTAGCTGATTGTTAGATGCACTTTATGAATACATTGGAATTGACATGTGTCACAGGAAGACAGGACGCTCTGCAGGTTGGGTAAACACCTCCTTTTTTCAGCGTGGGCCTCGAAGCTCACCGAGTATCACATATCATCTTCCTGTCTTTGTGACCCTGACATACAGAAGCCATTCATGTGTGATGTGTGTATGTGGAGATGTGCATATTGTCAATTATCAAAAAGACACATGTTGCTACATAGAATAACAAATGTAATTCTAGTGAGACTGAATCAAAACACTCAAATACTACATTTGCAGGCCTGAAAAACCAAAGAAAGACACTAAACATCTCCGTAGAGCAAAGAGACATTTCATTTTCGGGTGATCATTTAGTCTCATTTCACATTACAGACCTATTTGATCATTTCCTAATAAAAGAGTATTGATTAGTGCAGCTTTAACATGGATCTATAAGAACATGCTTCCCCCACAGTGTGTAATCCCTGGATGAATTCATATTTTAAAATAGAGCAGTAGTTATTAAAGTGCTTCACGGATGCTTCTGGGACGGTTAACAAAAAGCAGGATTAAACCGAAAAGAGGAACTGCGCATTGAAAATCATTCGGATGATGTGTCTAGAAAACCTGGCGACCCTATACATGCTGAGAAAAAACTAAAATCACACCCAGGGTATAATTTTTAAAAAGCGACTGGTGTGAGTATAAATGAATAAGTAGTCCTAAAATACAGAATCCTCTCCCCTGCTATGAATCATTCATTCATTATACATTAAACATGACTGAGAGGCAGCCAGGGAGAGAGACTGTGTTGTGTGTGTGTGTGGTGTTGTGTGTGTGTGTGTGTGTGTGTGTGTGTGTGTGTGTGTGTGTGTGTGTGTGTGTGTGTGTGTGTGTGTGTGTGTGTGTGTGGGTGTGCGTCCATGTCCATTAAGGGTTTAATAAACTGGCTCTTGCTCCAGGGGACCAACCCTGGTCTCTGGCTGCAGGGCATTGTGGGATGGGACCAACCAGGAAGTGATAAATTATACACCTCCCTCCTCCATGTGTCAATCAAAATTGACAGGATGGAGAGAAATGATGCACACACACACACACACACACACACACACACACACACACACACACACACACACACACACACACACACACACACAGCCTCAACCCCTTCACTGAGATAGGACACAGCTGCACGCTCACACGCACACACATTTATAGTGCCATCATGCACTCCTCTCAATGCTATTTTCCAGCTGCTGTTTCCTCTGTATTGTCTGCAGCAGCCAGACACCACAGGTTAAAAGAATACATCAGCAAATGTTCCCATTAGGCAGCATAGCCATTAGCATGTTCCCCTCCTCCACGCTAACACATCATCATAATGATGAGCGATAGCAGACAAGTAGCATCATCTGAAGTGAGACGACCCTTCTCTGAGTTATAGGCTGAAATCATGCGGATGAAGACAAGATTGTTTCAGTTTTTAAGTAAAGAAAAGCATATTTTATTCCCCTGTGCAAATATCTTTACACTTTGCATTATTTCTACGCAAAACGTAACATTTTCATGTTGTCACGATAGCAGCTTTTGTTGCTCAATTTGAATTTATTTTACAATAAAAAAATACAATGTACTGTAGGTTCCAGAACCGAACAATGTATATGGTTACTGAGAGTTTGTGTGCGTGTGTGTGTGTGTATGTCTGGTTAACCCCTTCTTATTGTGTAAGTGGTTCATTGTCTTTGCTTTGATTGATGACAGAGGTCAGCTATTCACGCATATCCTGTCTCAAGAGCAGTTTCTAAAGTGTGTTAAAGTATGACGAGGCAGAGTGTTAAAAATGTGAATTGTAAATAGGAAAATATAAATAAGTAGTTGCATCGGCTGCTGTGGCAAAATATCTCCCTCAAGACATCTTCTTTAACCTCGGTTTGACAAAACATCACAAAGTCTTATTTATGCGACAGAGATCAAGAGAGAGCAAGTGAAAGGAGAAAGACAAGCTTTCCTCTTGTAGTGGTCACGGTCAATTTCAGCCTTTTTACAGTCAATAAACCGGGATTACAAAAGCTTCAAAGCATCAAAGCAGAGCGCTCATTAGATCTACAGAGAGGCATGTGTAGCTCCTGTTAGCACCAG